TACGACTTGTTTCATACCAACTATAGCCCCGTATTCCGCCATATTTCTTTCAGATACATTGTCTCATTGTAACGATGTATACCCAATTTGCTGTTACACTTGAATGATTTTTTGGTTTGGGTATTGACTTGTGCACATCTCCGATGGTAAAGCATATGAGAACACATGAGGTGATGAAGACATTTCAGAAAACAAAATAAACAACATAATAATCATATTTTTGAATGATATTGATTTGAACCAAAAGAAAAAAATGCAAGTTTGGAAGAGAAATTTAGATGCATGAGTACGTATTTTTACAGTGCGCCAATTTTGCAGAATAAACTTGAAATCTAAAAGCAGTAAAATTTGCAAACAGATTTTGAAATTATATCATTTGAATGAAAGAAAACAACCAACGTCTTTGATTTGCAGGTCCTATGCAATTGATGCATATCGAGAAACGCATCGAACGCTGTAAACCGTAAACGTAACCATACCTGGTAATAAGGTTACTGCATCGGTTCGAAGATGTGCACAAGTCAAGTGAAATACACCCTGAATTCCATTTATTGAAATATGCATCACAAAAAAGAAATAAACTCCATAAAAGCTCAATACTAAACACACTGTCATTACTCCGTACACACTAGCACGACGATACCCTTAGTCCGTGCTGATCAGATTTTGGTCAGGGAAAATATCAAAAGTGGAACGAGAAGTTATTTGGAATTTTGCGCGGCTGAAAGAGGGGGGGTATTATAACTGCTGTTCATAAGCTATAATTGTGAATTGTCTATCTACATGTAGTTCTAATATACATTCTATACAAAGTCATGTATATACCGGTAGTCTGCAGTTGGTTTGCGTCACAAAATTCATTTGTCAATTATAACTGATTATTGTAGTACTAATCCCAAATCTAAACCAAGTAATTTATTTAAATATTCTTGGAAGAACAGACATTCTGTGATTCAGTTTTGAGATTTTTTAAAAAATGTGTCACTCCGACCACAAAGTATGTGCATTTTGAGGAATGTACCTGTTTATAATATTATGTTGTTACAGGAAGTATTTCGAGATTTCAGTACCCCTGTCTGATAGTCTCAGGTATTTTTTTTCTATATATAAATAATTTCTTTAGGTGAATTTGGGAGATAATTTTAAAAGCTAGGGTAATTATTACTTATTCTTTTGTATATTGAACTCTCTCCCTCTCTCTCTCTGTCTTTCTGTCTGTAACTACCCGTTGGGGCAAAGATGGGTATAAATCCTACTTAATTTTGTGCTGCATCATTTATTATGCCTTAGGACAGATCAAGGATTTTTTTCAGGCGGGATGTCTGAAACTTCATAAATTGAATTATAATTTTCTTTGGACAGGAAGTTAACCCAAACGCCCAAATTGAAAGAGAAACTAGACGTACATGTATTATGAGCAATGAACTCACTAAATGATACCCCCTACCTCCCATATGGTTAGTCCATATTTCGCTAAACCCATACGTGTCAGATCAAAAAGTAAAATAGGAGATGCATAATGGTAATATGTAATATTAAACTTAAGATTCTTTGAGAGTTTCATTAAATTACTCTAAGTGGTGTAAGAGGATTTGCGGTTAAGAGATGGCCAGATGGGTACCCCTAAAGCGTAACAGACAGACGAACTAAGATATAACAGACAGACCCCCCACTTTTCAGGCGGGGGATATAATAAATGTGAAATATAAATCACAAGAATGGGAACATTGGGAACTTTCTCGAATACCTTCTCAAACGCATGTGTCGAGCTTGGACAACAGACAAGAGAATTTTTAAAAAGCTATAGTTTTAGGTAGAATGTGGAATTCTCACGAGGAGTTTACTCTCTCTTCCTATATGCTTTTTCTAATAATCATTAATTATTTATGTCTAGAAATTTAATTCACATCAAATTCTATTTTCATTATCATTGTACCAAAGAATCAAACCTGTTTATTATACTCGTACCCCACGCGTGAGGATAATGTTTTTGACCCGTCAGTCAGTCCTTTTTTTTTTCTTTTTTTCTTTTTGGTCAGCGCAATTTCTCATAAACCACTGTACAGAGTTTTGTCGAATTTTGCAGATATTTATAGGAGACAATGTGTGTGTAGATTTGAAAATCACCAGGAAATTCCGAATTCTTTATTTTTCCGGGAATTTCCGCACTTTTACATTTAAATTTTGGCCATATCTTGAATATAGAGGTGAGCAATTTGTCAGCGCAACTCCTCATAAGCCGCTGCACACAATTTACTCAAACTTTGCAGATATTTAGGACACAATGTGTATAGATGTGATATTATAAGGAAATTACAATTCCTTTATTTTTTTCTTGGAATTTTTAGCACTTCGACTTTTGGGGAGCGTGGGGATGTGAACTTGCTCACTTTTTCTTTCATAGTGCATAAAATTATAAATAACTTTAAATCAAAATATATTAGGTCTAATAAAGCCAATTCACAGTATTTATTTGATAATAATTGATCATTAAGAAATCCAATCTGTTTCAGATGTTTTTCTTACATTATTTTTATGAGAGTGTTATGCATGTTTTATCCCTCCCCCTCCCCTTTATCACGGGAAAATATCTTCAAAAGGTGAATGATTCATAATAATGCCTGCTTTTTTAAATGAATTTGTTGAAGTTAAACCAATTACATAATCGTAGTTTAACTTAATTCTATTTACAAAATGTACAGACAGAGTAATGTTTATTTTTGAAAAAAATTACTTGCATTTTTTTTTTCAATCAACCCCACTGAGCTTTCAACCTTTGATATTTTCCCTGACCAAATAAAATGATCGGCATGGGCCACGCGTGTCCAAGCATCTTTTACTGTTGAGTTAGGAATGGATAACATGACTTTTGAGATGGGTTTTTCAATAAAAGTAAAATAGGATAATTCTTCCGACATGTGCACATCCCTGTAGCGATAGCAGTAGCCAGGTAAATGTTTTTATCACTGCGTTTGACGCGTTTTCTGACCTGCATAGGTGTTTGATGTACATGTATGTATTATCAGTGTTAGTTTATTTTCTATATTGCAGCAAATGCATTCAAAAATAATTTAATTCTCGGTATAGTTCTCTATTTTTTGATGAATTTTTACTTTTCAAACATGCATTTGGTCAGTTTATGGACTTCTAAAAACTTTGTTATCGGAGATGTGTACATGTCGACAGTCAGGCTAGAAAATCACTCAAGTGAAGCAATTGTACAAGGCTATATATAGCAGGCACAGGTGACCAAAATTTTTTGATTAAATATGGCGGAATCGAAGAAATATGGCGGACAAAGGCGTACAGGAATGTAGTAAGTCGTACAAAGATGAAAAATGATGCCTTTTTAAGAGTTCATGTCAGCTTTAAACTTTATGTGGATACAATCACTGGTCCCGAGAAAACTATCGATAGATACGGGAAGTTAGGGAGAGTTACGTTCGTTCGTAAGATGTCGGTGTTTCTCTTTAAAGTGATATATGACGTATTTTAATATGTTCAGACTTTCTATAATTAAAAATCTTTTTTATTTGTTTTGTTACTTTATATAAAGATAGGACTTTTTTGTAAATTACACGACTTAATCATAGATATTAAACAATAATTGATTTATTTTTGACGCGGAAATAATAGAAACAAGGGGGTATTTCAGTTCAATATACGTGAAAATTTGAATTTGAACGTAAATAACAAATATCAAGTAAATCTACACTTAATCTTGTTTTTTTTAATTCTGTGTTTTTGCCGGAAATTTTAGTTTGCCTTGCAACAGGAGATGATTCTAATTTAATAAAGTACTACCTGAGCCAAACCAATAAAATGTTAAATAAACTGCTTAGCCCTGAGCAGTAAACTGCCTCTGTTGCCTTGATTGTTTAGTATGTTGCTGTTGATTCTAGAGATTGGAAATGCATTCCTCTGCCCCTGTTGACACAATTTTTCCAGTCCTGGAAATTTGTAATTTATAAAATTCCATATTCTGCCATCACATTTGTGCATATTTAGCAGTTCAGAATTTTGAATAGTCAATGAATCAATAGTACTTGTTAGGGGTTCTTGTTTGAATTTTCTATGATTTACATTTACTCCTCCTTAGGTATTATCTTATTATGCGGTTCTATGCATTAATTTGAGTTATAACTTCTTGCACGTTTTTCTTACACTTGGTTTCATTACTACCAATTAAAAAAGCCCTGTTGATTTGAAGATGATCAGAAAGACTGACACCAACTCACAAGCACTTATCACAAGGTGCATCTGTCAACACACTAGTATTCACACATTTAAATTCCGTACAAACATATCTCTATACTCTAGATTCCTAAATATACGCGTGGAATTAATTCTCGCGTGATTTCGCGAGAAGCACCACAAGCTAAATAAAATAACTTGCCTTTATTTATATTGTGCTGGAATCTATATATAATATCTTGATCACCCATCCACTCGCGAATAATTTTTTCTCAGGATTTGCCGTTGTAGAGCCCATTGGCGATAATAATTACTCTCGAAAAATAAGGAATCTACAGTACACATTAAACCTGAAAATATATACACAATTGTATTCCATGTTGAACCCTTTATCCATTGGATATGACGCATTGGATATAAATTTGAAATTCTAGTTTAATGCTGTCCTGAGGTCATAATGGCTGGGCGTTACCATGATGAAGTAAGATAAAGTGAAGTCCTACTGTGTATAATATTGGTTATGAATTTTTTGACTTGGGATAAAAGCAATTCCCCATGGTTTTTAGGTTGTATGGACATAAAAATGATCTTAATTTCACTGTGCGCTTATGTTTTATCAAAATTATACCTTAAAAATAAACAATAACTTTTCATATGAGTTTTTGTTTGTGTAGTAAGAATAAACTATAAAGAAAACAAATTAAATGTTTAGGTTGGGTGCAGAGATAAAATCGGAATAAAGTACATGTAAAAGTGGAAGTAGTTCTGTCAAAAGAAGACATTTAGTTCAAAGTACTGGGATACTGATGTTTACAGCAACAGCTCGTCACATCGCCCTGATGTTACAACAGGAAGGATACGAGATTGTACCAATCAAAGACATCAGAAAGATAGAGGACTACTGTGATCCTCATAGTCCACAGGTTTTTGTTATTGATGATGTGGTAGGTGTCTTTGGACTTCAGAAGGCAAAATTAAACCTTTTGTTTAATTACGAAGATAGAATCAGTAGGCCTGTTATGCAAAGTTCAAAAACCCTCATGACATGTAGAGAAGCCGTGTATAGAAAATCATTTGAATCAAGTACATTTTTTACTAATGAAAACAACATTATTTTGTTACATAGCAAAGATAACATTTTAACCAACAATGACAAGATAAATTTACTAAAAATGTACAACATAAATTACAATATGTTCTCTACTACCAATTTGTCATCAACATCTAAAATGTTTCCTTATCTTTGCAAATTATTTTCATCGGACAAGAAATTCCAGTCGTATGGGACTGTGTTTTTTGAAAATCCAGTTCCTTGCATTTTGAAGGAACTTGAAGAAATGAACAAACAAAATAAAATTCAATATGCTTCTTTGGTTTTATGCATGATGAATGAAAACAAAATATCGGAGAACATCCTTGACGAAACCAATAAGGAAAAGGTTGCTAAAAGCTTTCAAGAAATGAGAAAACGAGTTTTGTGGAAATGCAAAGTCAGCAGTGAAACAAATAATTATAAATTTGTTGATGCACTATCAGCAATGGAGGGAACTTACACAAAAATGTATGGTACTGAGTATTCCTTTGTTCATGATTCCATGTTTGAGATTCTTGCATATCATTTTGGTCGTCAGTTTCCAGAACTGATTTTACAGTATATGAGTAGTAGTTATATTGCCAACAACGTAAAACTACAAAAACGTCATGAACAAAGCAAGCAGAATTTAGAGAGTGAACATAAACAAGAAAGTGAGAATATTGAAGTCAGTGTGGAGTGTAAGGAAGAGGAAGGGAATATTGCATTCAATGGCAAAAGTCGAGAAAACATGGAGTCATTTGACCTCTATATCAGGTTAAGAGAGGATCAGTATTCAATGTTAACGGAACGTTTGTACAAAGATGTTGAAAATATGGAACTGTATGACGTTTTTATGAATGATATTTTGAAAGAACCTAAGGTTTGTAAGAGTTTTATTGAGGTGTTAAAAACAAAGTCTTACACGGTGCTTAAGTCTTTATTTTTGTCAGTGCAGAAAAACGTGTCTAAGGTAGTGAGTAAAAGAGACCGTTTGGACAAGGAGAGTGAGGGGAGGATAGGAAAGATGAAGTGGCCTAGACAGAGATTTGTGACGTACAGAGTGATGCGAGGACAGGAAGTCCTAGTCAACGAGAGAAAGAAAGAATACAGTGTCAGGGTTATCAGTTGGGTGATTTACTATAAACACAATCAGATACTACAATTCATTTTAGAACAAACTGATCTTAACAAAGAAACACAGTCTGAACTGTTTACAAATTCTTTAAACCCTGATTTATCACTTATAACAGAAGAAGGGGAAAATAACAAGAATACTGAACAATACCGCTTGCTGGTACTGAGTTGTTATAGTGGCGACTTAGAGATTGTTAGAAGAATACTGAAATATTTCAATAGAAGCATTAATTCAAGGGCACTGACAAATATTAATTATGAACATTTTATTTATGATACACCATTGACAATAGCATGTATGGAAGGACATATAAATGTAGTGAAGGAGTTGATAGAGGAGGGAGCTGATATCAATCATCAAGGTGAATATAATACACCATTAACAGCAGCATGTGAGGGTGGACATATTAGCGTAGTAAAAGAGTTGATTCAGGCAGGCGCTGATATCAATCTTCGAGGTGAATTCAATACACCACTGGTGACAGCATGTGAGTGTGGGCATAAAAGTATAGTAACGGAGCTGATAGAAATGGGAGCTGATGTTAATCCACAAACTCAGCTTGATTCCCCATTGACAACAGCATGTGTTGGTGGAGAAATGAGTTTAATAAAGGAGCTCATACAAGCGGGGGCTGATGTTAATCCACAAGGAAAATACAATACACCACTGAAAAAAGCATGTCTGGGTGGAGATTTAAGTTTAGTGAAGATGCTGATAGAGGCAGGGGCTGATGACAATACTGATGGCCGCATGTAAGAATGGGCATTTAAGTATAGTGAAAGTGTTAATTGAGGCAGGGGCTGATGTTAATCTTCAAGGTGAAGATGATACACCACTGATAAATGCATGTGAAGAGGGGCATTTAAATGTAGTGAAGGAACTGATAGAAGCAGGAGCTGATGTCAACCTTCAAGGGAAATACAGTACCCCACTGGTAGCAGCATGCGCAAATGGGCATTCAAATGTAATAAAGGAGCTAATAGAGGCCGGGACTAATGTCAACCTTCACACTTCAAAGAGTACACCACTGTTAGCAGCATGCAGAAACAGGCATTTCAGTCTGGTAAAACAGCTGATAGAGGCAGGAGCTGATGTCAATCTTCAAAGTAAATATGATGCACCACTGGGTGCAGCGTGCGAAAATTGGCATTTAGGTGGAATAAGGATAACGATAGAGGAGGATTCAGAAATCAATATGAGATATCTGCATGATTCACCACAAGAAGTATGGCAGAGTGAACATTTAAATGCAGTGAAGGAACTATTAGAAGCAGGGGCCTGTGTCAATTCACAAGCATTTTGGTCGAACACCTCTATATAGAGTTGTTTTAGATCATATAAAAATGTCACACAAGCTGTACATATTTTGAGTATGTTTGGCGCAGACTCATCCATCCGTAATAAAGACGGTTATTCAGCTTTGTATATTACATTATTTAAAAACAAAACTGATGTTGTGAAACAATTATTTCAAACTGAAAAAGGAAATAATCTGAATAGATTGAAGTTACATTTGTTTGACTGTTTGGTAGACATAAGACACAGTGATGTGGGGACTGATTTTAAGGATGATGTCGTGGTGACACAGAGGCGAGTTTGGTGTATGCAGGAATTGGGGAATTGTATAATACAATAAAGGGTTGTAAATGTGACGGACTAAAACATCTGTTAAAAGTAGGTCTGGATATTAATCAGTGGATACAAGTGTATTCTGACAAGCCTAATTTTGATATGATGCCTTTGCTGTTTATACTAATTAATGGTTTTGGTGTTGAAGACGGGTAAAGAAGATAAGGATCCTTCTGCAGGCGGAGCAAATGTCAATGACAGGGTAAAATTCAGTAGGAATCATTTTGTTTTAGACAGGGACAGCGTGTTCGATGACCTAATTGATGATGATGATGATGAAGGTGAAGGTGAACGATTGGTATTTGATAGTGAGAATGTGTATGATATTTATCCCACTGATGATGAAGGTGAAGATTCAGTTTTAGATAATGAGATTGCGTCTGATAATCACTCTACTGATGAAGAAGGTGAAGGGTCAGGTTTAGATAGTGAGATTGCGTCTGATAATCACTCTACCGATGAAGAAGGTGAAGGGTCAGGTTTAGATAGTGAGAATGCGTCCGATAATCACTCTACTGATGAGTTTAACGATCAGGAGAAAAAAGAAGTAATATCTATGTTAGACAGAGAGGGGGTTTCTGTTTTAGGAGGACACGACGTCTGATGATAAGGTTCAGAGAGCCGATGTACAAGATGGTGTTAATGGAGGTGAAAAAATATGCGAGACGATATTCTTTGTGAGAAAGATCAAGGGTTCCCATGTATATAACAAAACATGTAGAAAAATGTCATTTTAGAATATTCCAATTACTATTACTTTTAAAAATCATCGGACAAGTATTAAAGGTACTTGGACACAGATTTGAAGTTAATATTTTCTCATTTTTTCTGTGTAATAACACAAATTATATATTATGATAGCATTTCACACAAAAATTAATTAAAAATCTTATTTCATTTAAAAGTTATTAAAACTTAAAATTTTTTGGCGGGTTTGTTTGACACATCCTTGCACTTTCACAAATTTTAACTTTATTCTCAATCCTTAGGAAAAGTGGCAATTTTGATGTGTTTTAATGAGAAATATTAAAACTTTTATCAACAAAAATACTTTTATTCAGAGTAGGAATGTTAGAAAGCAAAACACCTTCACAAGTATCGTCATTCCGAACTAAGAGATGCGTACAGAGTTTAGCAAATCGAGCACACTCGTGTTATGTACACAATATTTGTAAACAGGGCTCGAGTTCTGTTATTGTTTATATTTAGAAGTCACATGGTGCGTTCAATCGTCACATTCTGCTTTCCACAACTGAGCGGACTGACAATATATTGTGTGTTTGTTTTGCTTTCGAACGTGTCTACTCTAAATTTTCTGGATTATGGTATTAATATTTTTCATTTATACAAAACGAGATTGCCACTTTTCTTAAGGATTAAGAATAAAATTAAACTTGGAAAGTGCAAGGATGTGAAATCAAACCCGCTAAAAATTTGAAATTTCAATATCTTTTAAACGAAATAAGATTTTTAATTAATTTTTGTGTTCAATGCTTTAAAATTATATAAGTCGTAATATTAAAGAGAAAATAATAACTTCAAATCTGTGTCCAAGCACCTTTAAAATAATTAATGAAATAAGCATATTTTTTCACCAGTTCGTAATGTAATTTGATGTAAATTAAAATTAACTATATTCATTGGACAAAAAAAATTATGTAATAACGTTTAGACAGTTAATTTGATATGGATTTTAAATTTTAATTCGTGTTACATGCCAGATGATATTTCAGTTTTCTGACTGTCTTACCTTTAGTATCCTGAATTTATGTGCTTCAAAAATTCAAAAATTTGCTGGTCACATTATCTTCTGATGATTTATCACCATGTCTGTTTAGCATTCATCATATGTATGCTTTTATGGGAAATAGATTTCCAGCCGCAAATAAATGTTCTTACATAAATATTTTAGCAAACAGAACTGAATTATACCCGAAATTGTGTTGAATTTTCACTTATCATTAAGGTAATTCTATATATATATATATATATATATATATATATATATATATATATATATATTATATATATAGAGAGAGAGAGAGAGAGAGAGAGAGAGAGAGAGAGAGAGAGAGAGAGAGAGAGAGAGAGAGAGAGAGAGAGAGAGAGAGAGGAGTGCTACTTTTAGCTTTAAACTTTGCTTAGCTTTGACGTCATTACATTGGACAATAATTGAAATGTTTTATCTCTTGCTTTTCTGATTCATAAATACTACATTTTTCAAAGAAGTGAGAATTTCCCGAATAATGATCTATTTGTTGCCTTAACATACCTGCATTGTTCATTATAAAACTTATGTTTTTGAATCTCAACATGGACATTCCAGAAAAAAAAGCATTCTATTTTTTAATTAAATGTAGCCAATTTCCTTGAAATCAATTTTAGTTTATGCTAATGAGAAATTTAAAAAAAATCTATAAAAAAAAATGTTACAATTCTAATTTCAAGGCTTTTAAAAAAAGCAATCTCAGAATATTTATTAGAATTTTAGTTTTTAGGTTTTGCTCGAATTTTTCATTAATCTAATTGCTGATGTACTTTATTTTGTTTTCTGTGTAACTTCCTTTTTCATTTGAAAACCATTGTTAATGCTGTATACGTAGTGTGTTAATCTATTATGTATGATATCAAGTAACGCCATTAATACATGTACTTTTGTAAAGATTTTTATCCAGGTGATCATTTTATTTAGTTTTAAGTGCACCTGAGCTAAAGGCTCAGTTCAGATTTCTGATTTAAATTTTCCGTTGTCTGTTTTTGGTGTCGTCGTTGTTGTTGTTAACTTTTCACATTTTCATTTTTCTCCTCCAGAACCATAGAACCAATTTCAACCAAACTTGGCACAGTGTATCCCTGAGGAAATGAATTCAAATTTGTTCGAAAGGCCATGTCGTCTTCAAAATGGAGACAGTTATAAATTAATGGTATCTCCAAAAAATATTCTTCTCAAGAACCAGTGAGGCAGGAAATATGAAACTCATGTGGAAGCATCCTCTTTGTAGTGTAGATAAAAGTTTGTTCAATTTATGACCCCTGGAGTAGGGTGGGGTCACAGTGGGGTATCAATTTTTAACAAAGGAATACATTGGAAAAATCTTTGAAATCTTCCTCTCAAGAACCTATCGGTCAGGAAAAATTAGACTCAAGTAGAAAAATCCTCTGTTAGTGAATTTTCAAGTTTGTCCAAATCATGATCACCAGGAGAGGGTTGCATCAAAATTTTACATAGGAATACTGAGGAAAATCTTTAAAAATATTTTCTCAATATCATCAAAGCCGTGATATGTCATAGTTATTTGAAAGCATCTCTGAAAGTGCAAATTCAATTTTATTAATATCTTGATCTCCGGTGGTAGGGTGCGCCACAATAGGTGATCAAAGTTTAACATAGGGATTCATTTAGAAAATCTTAAGAAATCTTCTTTTGAGAAAGCAAATGTATGATTGGTTATATTTATATGGAAGCATCTTCTAGTAGTGAAGATTCAAGTTTGTTCAAATCATGACCCCCGGGGCAAGAGTGGGGTCATTATGAGTAGGATTACATAGAAAATTCCACTTTAAAGCTCTTCCTCTTGAAAACAGCAACTTTGTGATTGGTCATAGTAATATGAAAGTGTAGATAGAAGTTTGTTCAATTCATGACCACCGAGTGGGGCCACAACGGGTGATCAAGTTTTTACATGGGGAAAATTGTTAAAATTCTTCACAATGCCATGGCTGATCATCAGTTAACAAGAATCGAGATTTATATATGATCAAATCATGACTATTCAGGAGAATAGAGGAGCCATGAAAGGCGGATCATAACAAAGAAATATAAAGGCTTCATCAATACATTTTCATCTTTTAATAAGCAAAGCCATTATGTGTTATATTAACAGTCATAGGAAGTGTAGATTAAAATTTGTTCAAATACCCCTCCTGGAACCCACTTTTATAATATTTTAAAACTTTTTCAATACTGAACTGATTTTTGCTTTTAACTAGATAGTCGCTCAGGTGAGTGATGTGACCAATGGGCCTATTGGTTTTTGTTTTTAGCTTTGTTCATATTTTCATGTTAAGGAAAATTTTACTGTGTGGTTTCTCTAATTTGTTCAAACAATTATTTAAGAAAGAGCCGTGAAATCCATTTGATTGATCCATGAATATATATTTCTTATAAAATCTTTAAATGACTGAGAAACTAAACCATACATTATTATGTTATAACTAATTGTTATGTTATATATGTTTATATTTTTCCATCCTTAGTTGTAAAGAGAGATTTCGAGTAATGAGGTCACACATTTTTGTATACTTATTATACTTCTGTTAACTCTAAGCTTTTCATACTTGCGTGATTCCTGAGGACGAAAGAACAAACAGTGCTGTTCTACTGTTCTTCTAATGCACAAATGTTTTACTTTCTCATCTCTGTATATTTTGATAAAACATGAGATTACGAACTGTGTTCAAGATCAAATGTCATAAAAGAACAGAAAATAGGAGCAAAGAAAACACGGGCAATTTAAATTTCAGAGGTGAGATCTGGTGCCATGGAGGAGTGAGTATCCCCTGCCGACCGTTAGTTCCTTGCCATGATCGGAAAAGAACGGAGAAGTTCGTCCTCAATTCAGTGTATAAATAATGGACAAAACATTAGAATGAAAAACGTTTTTCATGGATGTCCCAAGTGATTTATTTTTCCGTTATTTCCTGATCATGACAACGAGCACACGGCGGATGTGACCGGTCGGCAGGGGATGCTCACTCCTCCATGGCACCTGATCCCACCTCTGATGTTTCGGAGGTCCGTGTTTGCTCTGCTCTTATTTTGTATATTGTTTAATGGACGTTGAGATTGAATACTGTTCGTTATCTCCATATCCTTCTCTGATTTATAATTTTTAAAGCTAAATTTCAAGTCACCTTTATTTATAATCCCCTTTTATGAGCAGAAAACATCAGGGATATATCAAATATATATCTTGTGCAAATGCTGAACTACATTCTGTTTTGAAAAAAATGTCCTGCTTACTTCACGATTTTTTTAATATTCTGTGCATGCTAAGAGAGATAACTTTAATATAAATATCTTGCATATAATTAAAGGTATTGAAAATGTTCACTATCATCTGTTCCATTGTTAACCGAGGAGCAATATTTTTTTATATAATGATATATATTTTTAACAGTGAATTTTGCATGCATGAATTGTGCGCACTAATAGTATTTTCAAGTGACCCGTGGTAAG